ATCTGTTTAACTGTCAAACTACACAAACAGTTCTCATATATATTTTACTCTGCTAATGGATTATTCTATTGCAGTTACTACTTGTTTTTTGTTGCCATACTCTGCTCATTCCCTTTTTAGAGATCATGTAAACATAGCTGATAGACACTTCTGGAGCCAACAACCCTGTAATAAAGGGTTCTTAAAATGAACTTTTACACTGGTCAGTTGACTTTAAATATATATATATATATATATATATATATGACATGGGCTCCAGCACACTTTTTGTGGGTGTATTTAGATGTAACTGAAAAGTTATGTTGGCTGCAAATATGTGATCCCTTACATGATCATTTACCTGTTTATTTTTCTGTAATTTGCCATGTCCCTCTTTAAAATAATTAGACATATTTTAAAAACTGTAAAAACTACACATGTCAATGTTTTACAGCTACGTAATTCGAATTGACTTGATTTTTTCAAGTAATCCTAGAAAGGGGAGCATCCCAAATAGAAACTGCTGAAACTGCCACAGGTGCTTCTCCGAAAACCTTACAGTTGTGGCAATGAGTGTTCAGTATCGCTTCCTTTCTGCACACAAGGCATACTGTTGAGGTATTTGTTGCGGTGATTGGTTTTAATGCTAATTTAGGAATTCAGTTATAGAAGTTTTAGATTTGCATGCATTGTTACCCTAATATAAAGACTCTGCCATACTTTTAACTAACAATAGCTGAGAGGAGACTAGTTAATGTTTATTGTGCCAGGAGTAGGATGTGACATTTAACAAGTTAAATTGTCTGGTGGCATTGTAATATTTCATTTTGTAAAGGTTTAATATTTGATAAAGCCATGTCTTAAATCTGATTCTACAGTCTTTACATTTTTAGATTTTGCTTTATTTTAACTGTAATTGTTTTTTTTTGTTTGCAATGTAATTTTTTTATATGAGCACATTCTGGGGAATGCTCCTATGAGAAGTTAGTTCCCTCACTCTGTAATCCTACTGGCTTCATTCCTTTTTAGCATGTCCACCCACAAGTCAATTTATCTTTAATCCTCCCCCCCCCCCCAATCCATTTTAAATCTGTCATTTTTGGCACTGTTATCTTATTCCCATCCAGCTTCTGAAAGTTCAAGGTATTGTTCCTTTTTATTCAGTTGCTGTTTAAGAATGCAGTACAACTTTTAGACATCTCATACTTTTTACATTTAGTAACCTTTAAACTTAATGGGGTTGCTAATAACAGCAGTTTTCCATTCTATACTGGGCACTAAAGAGACTTGCATGTCAGATTGCACTTTACAGCTTCTTCCTTTTGACCTTAAATGGGGTGATCGGGTATAATCTCTGTTTGTTTGATTTTGCAGGGCTGCATCTTTTTTTAGTGTCCAGAATTATGGCAAATATAAAGGTGATAGTCAAGCACCTTGGATATGTTATCTTTACTTACAAGGTAGAAGCTTACTATTATGTGAAGCTGTCCTATATAGCAGCACATGCATGAAATTCTGCATCTTTTTTTAGGATGCAGTCACATATGTAGGACTTGGTCTACCTACCCAGTGCTTGGGTTCATCCGGCATTGTATTGTAAATACCATAAAACTTGCCAAACCTTTTATAAGGTCTGTAACCTGTTTTCACTTCCCAAGAGTTTCAAAAATGTTGCTAAAAAGCAAATGGGAATCATGATATGCTTAACCCAAGATTTCCCCAAATGAAAACTGAGCAATCAAGGCCAGACATATTAAACTGTTAATCTGAATGCTTCAGAAAGTATTACTGTAATGCTTGAAAAGGCAGGTTGCATAGAATTACTGACAAGAGGCTGCAGTCTTGCCCAGTCTCCCCCTGAAAGCATAGGCTTGCTCAACCTGGTTGTAAAGTATTATAGGGCAATTAGATAAAATCAATATTAGGGTGGCGTTTTGGCACATTTCCTAGGTAACATTGGCAACTCACTGAGTTTGACTGGTGGCTAGAGATATATATTTTTTTATTTTTCAATAACTTTTACCTTGTGACATTAGGTTGAAAATGTTTGCAAGTAAATGTGTAATATATTTACTAGATTGCTTATTACTCAGTAGCTTCTGTTTAAAGTGAACTTGCATAGAAGCTGAGGCAAACACAAATCGCTTCTCTGATTCCTTGTTCTTATGGCTCTTATTCACATTTCTGGTTTTTCATACAATGTACACTATATTGCCAAAAGTATTGGGACGCCTGGCTTTACATGCACATGAACTTTAATGGCATCCCAGTCATAGTCCGTAGGGTTAAATATTGAGTTGGCTCACCCTTTGCAGCTATAACAGCTTCAACTCTTCTGGGAAGGCTGTCCACAAGGTTTAAGAGTGTGTCTATGGGAGTGTTTGACCATTCTTCCAGAAGCGCATTTATGAGGTCAGGTACTGATGTTGGGTGAGAAGGCCTGGCTCGCAGTCTCTGCTCTAATTCATCCCAAAGGTGTTCTGTTGAGGTCAGGACTCTGTGCAGGCCAGTCAAGTTTCTCCACCCCAAACTCGCTCATCCATGTCTTTATGGACCTAGCTTTGTGCACTGGTGCGCAGTCATGTTGGAATAGGAAGGGGCCATCCCCAAACTGTTCTCACATAGTTGGGAGTATGAAATTGTCCAAAATGTCTTGGTATGCTGATGCCTTAAGAGTTCCCTTCACTGGAACTAAGGGGCCAAGCACAACCCCTGAAAAACAGCCCCACACCATAATCCCCCCCTCCCCCCAAACTTTACGCATGGTACAATGCAGTCAAGCAAGTACCCTTGTCCTGGCAACCGCCAAACCCAGACACGTCCATCAGATTGCCAGACAGAAGCGTGATTCGTCACTCCAGAGAACCCGTCTCTAATTCTCTTAAGTCCAGTGGCGGGGTGCTTTACACCACTCGGACGCTTTGCATTGCACTTGGTGATGTAAGGCATGGATGCAGCTGCTCGGCCATGGAAACCCGTTCCATGAAGCGCTCTACGCACTGTTGTGCCAATCTGAATGCTACATGAAGTTTGGAGGTCTGTAGCTATTGACTCTGGAGACAGTTGGCGACTTCTGTGCACTTGAGCATGAGCTGACCCTGCTCTGTTATTTTATGTGGCCTACCACTTTGTGGCTGAGTTACTGTTCCCAGTTGTTTCCACTTTGTTATAATACCACTAACAGTTGACCGTGGTATATTTAGTAGCAAGGAAATTTCACGGATGGACTTATTGCACAGGTACTTATCAAGCGTGGTACCTATCACGAGCTCCTGAGAGCGACCAATTCTTTCACAAATGTTTGTAGAAGCAGTCTGCATGCCTAGGTGCGTGATTTTATACACCTGTGGCCATGGAGGTGATTGGAAAACCTAAATCCAATGATTTGGAAGGGTGTCCCAATACTTTTGGCAATATAGTGTATTTTTAAATGGAGACCTAGTGCTTAAACACCTTTTACAAAGTGCAAAGATGGCTACATTAGAGGAGTCATGCATCAGTAGCATCTGTTAAAATCTGTCTTCCCAGATCAATAAAGACCTGTTCCTTTTTTCAGAGGTTGGGGATCTGAGGCTGCTTTCCTTAAATTTAAAGGAGTATTCCTTACCATGTTATGATGAATGGTATACATTAACTGGAAGTATTAAGTACACTAGGTGCTTTCTGATAATAATTTTTTTCCCCCAATTTTACTTGCATAGCAAGTAAAGCTAAAAAAGGGCCAAGATCCCTATATGTTAGAAAATAAATTCTTGTTCTGGTTAGGTAAAGCTAAATGGTTGTATCATCACCAAGCTCTCAAATAGCTTTTTGGACAAAAATAATATATACATTTTGTGTTCTTTCAACTGGACATAGTGGACGGTTACTAGAGTCTTCTAGGGACTTCATAGAGCCATGTATATTGCCACAGATGATGTATTGGTATATACCCCTTGCTTTGTCTGTGGTTCCATCTACTACATGATTCTCCACTGCCAGTCAGGAAGTTTAATAGATTCAGGTCAGCAGTAGTGAAGCTCCTAGCCTTTGCCCATATTGCCAGTCTGTAAAAAAAGTGGGCCAATGACTTACCACGGCCAAAAAGGGCAACTGTAGTTAAGGCATAAGGCTTAATTTTATAACGGCTGGTAATGCTTACATGGGAGACCCGTCTATAACTTTTCATTGAATGAATGTTTTTAAATCGCATACCTTGTTTTATGTTTAGAATACTGTTTTTTTTTCCTGTCAAAATCGTGATTTCACATTTTGATTCACTAGAAATTGAACAGAATATGCCAACGTATGCTGTTCTTTCTCTTCTTGGTTTGACTTGCTCTTTGGCAGCTTTTGCTGTATTTTATTTGTACCCTTTGATATTTGGAGTTAATATATAAATATCAACATTGCTATTCTTGCATTCTGATCACTCTAATGTAAGTTGACACAATATACCAGTCTCCATCCTCTTGATGTAATTTCATAGTTGGAAATGTTCAGCCAGTGGGTTTTGCACCTTTTGTGGAACTAACTAGGACAAATTCCCCTTATCTACTTTTTTGAGAATCATTTTAGAGTAACCAGCTTAGACCTGAAAATGCCACAGACAATCTATAAATGTGTAAAGCATTATCATTTTTTTCTTTTTATCATTTATTTTTAAGTTGTTGACAGAGTATTGTAGTTTGACTCGTTGCTTTGAAGTTCACTGTAAAATTAGGAACTTCAAGCGTCCTACAGATATATTTTAGGAAGTATTAATAGGTGATCAGAGGCAGATATTTTTAGTCACGTGCAATGTATACGTTTTCTGTGAAAGATTTAGAAATGTTGCTCAGAGTATTTGTTTTATAAAACAAGCAACACCCTTTACTGCTAGGAAGGCCTCCATACATACAGTAAAAGGCCTCTCTGGGAGCAAAGACGATTGTAGAAACTGTACAGTAAATTTGAATGAATGCTTAGCCTTCAGATAGTTAGAGAACTGGGGGCTTTCACCTCACAATATGGTGTATCTAATTCAGTTCTTTGTTACACAGCTTTAAGAATGCCAGTGGCTTGACAGCGGCTGACCTTGCGCACTCCCAGGGCTTTACAGAGTGTGCTCAATTCCTTCTTAACCTCCAGAACAGTCAACTCAACGGTTTCTATTGCACTAGCTCCTTAAATGGAGTTCAACCAAATCCAGTTAATCACCATAATGGAGGAATAAACAATCGTAAAAGGTCATTCCATGATTTGGAGGCATCTGTTGTAAAGAAGCTGAGAACTGAAGGTGAGCAGTATGTTTGTACGCTATACCTGACTTTTCTTACACAAAACTGTTGTAATTCCATGATATGTGGTAAAGGCAGTGTCGAGTTTGAATTGCCCCTCTTTTACCCAAGGGTTTCCTTTTAATAGGTGTAAAGATGACAGAATTTCATACTCTCTAAGCCATACTGACAACATTTGGTTTCTATTAGTGCACCTCCATACAACTCTTTTAGTTATGGCCACCGTCATGTCTGCACAGTAGTACACTTTTTGGTGGACTTATGTAAAGTGACTTGTCCATTTTTGTGCCAAAGAAGGTTAGTTTTGGTCTTCGATTTAGGGATTTCTTTTCTACGTGTTCATTTTAGACTACCCTTTGGCTTCAAATAAGCATCAGTTCTGAAGCTGGCCTTGCTAGCTCTCAAAATACCTGAGCAGTGCCTCCATCCAATCAGATTGTTCAGGTATTTTGAAAGCCAGCGGGGACGGCTAGCAAGATACTGATGCTTGGCCCAGTAGGAGATTCCTCCATCCACACACTTTAGCGTAGATGGAGGAATCTTTTGCATTTTTTTTTCCATCTGACCATAGAAAATCTGCAGATAATCTAGCGGTGTATGGCCAGCTTTACACTTGCACACAGTTGGGGATTTTGTAGGATTAGTCAGGTGTATGATTAACCAATTATACCAAGCAGGTGCTAATCACCAATTTCATATGTAGGTTAAAACAGTCATTAACAGAAACAGCTGTGTAGGAAGCCTGAAACTTGGTGAAGAACAGACAAACTCTGCTACTAAGGTGAGGTTGTGGAAGACGGTTTCATGTCACCGGTCATACACCATGGCAAGACTAAACACACCAACAAGACCCAAGATAGTTAAACTGCATCAGCAAGGTATCTCCTAGGCAAAGATTCCAAGGCAGACTAGGGGGGTTTCAAGATGTGAAGAAGTACAAAGAAATGGGCAACGTTGAAGACCATAGACTCAGTGGTCGGCCAAGGAAACTTAATGCAGCAGATGAAAAACACATCATACTTACTTCCCTTTGACATAAGATGTCCAGCAGTGCTATCAGCACTGAACTGGCAGAAACCAGTAGGACCCAGGTACACCTCTCTACTGCCTGGAGGAAGTCTGGCCAGAAGTGGTCTTCATTGCAGACAAAAAGCCATACCTCAAATGTGTAAACGAGGCTAAGCGACTCAACTATGCATGAAAACATAGGAACTGGGGTGCAGAAAATTAGCAGCAGGTGCTCTGGAGTCAAAATTTGAAATATTTGGCTGTAGCAGGAGGCAGATTGTTCGCTGGAGAGTGTTACAGTAATAAGTGTCTGCAGGCAAAGTGAAGCATGGTGAAGGTTCCATGCAAGTCTCGGGCTGCATTTCTGCAAATGGAGATTTGATCAAGATAAATGGTGTCCTCAATGCTGAGAAATACAAGCAGATACTTATCCATCATGCCATACCATCAGGGAGGCGTGTAATTGGCCCCAAATTGATTCTGCAGCAGGACAACAATCCCAAACATACAGCCTGTGTCATTTAAGAACTATCTTCAGCATATTTGTGTCTGGAATTACATGAAGACAGGAGGAGGCAGCCTACACCCAAAGAAGATCTTGTGGTTAGTTCTCCAAGATGTTTGGAACAACCTAACGGCCGAGTCCTTAAACTGTGTGCAAGTGTACCTCGAAGATCTGATGCTGCTTTTGGAGGCAAAGGGTGCTCGCACCAAATATTTTTTATTTGGATTTTTCTTCTGTTAATTTACTTTCCTTTTTTGTTTTAAGTAATAAAAATAAACTTTTTTTTTTTTTTTCTGAACATTCTTTATAGCATTTTCACACCTGCCTGAAACGTGCACAGTACTGTAAACAAAAATTCTACTAAATACAGTATACCACTGGTTTTTGTTTGTTTTGTTTCCCTCAATAATAAATTCAACTGCAAAGCATAGGCATGGTCGTTGAGTTTATCTTGATTAGTATTGGTTTTAAAGCTACCCAAAAAAGTTTGAGTTCTTCATGACAATTGTGTTTAAGGAGAACTATGGGGTTAGGGCTTTTCCCCATAGTTCTCCTAAGGGTAACGGGAGGACACACACTAGCGTCCTCCCGTCAACCTAAGCTCCATATACCATGAGCTATATTACTGTCGAGATCCACCCAGCTGCGGGAGCGCCAGTATGTGTTCGCTCACTTCCTGATCTATTGAGCTGACCTGTGACGGTTTCATTGTCACAGGTCGGCTAGAACTACGAGGCCGTGTGATTTTTCGCTCGCCTTATAGTTCTCCTTAAAGTATAAGGCTTGACCAAAAGGTACAAGTGCACCTTCATTTTAGAACATTCCTAACAAGGGTCCATTTCTTTAAAAAAAAAAAAATATTTTCAGTGGGAAAGGTTTTGAATATTTTTCTCTCAGGAAGATGCCTACAGCAATATAAACCTCGCAGAAGTTCCCACTACTACAAGGAATGTGTGGCCTTTCTTTTCTTTTGCGGCCTCATTCCTAATAAGACTATTTAATCCCTACCTGTCACCAGGATGGGAAGGGAGGGGAACTTTCTGTCTTGGGACACAGACATCAATAAAAACTTGACAGGCATTTCAGCAGTTCTGAGCAAGTAAGTTTGGCCTTTTAATTAGGATATAAATATCACCATATAAAACGTACTGCTGCACAGAGAAAATCAAGTTGTAGTATACTGTTTTATGTATGGTTTGTGTTTTTCTTGTCTTTCTTTTAGTGAATAGCTTCGGTACAGAGTACATGACTGGAGGGATGGAGGATGAAGAGAGCATGCATGTAGAAAATCACTCTGAGATATCAGGTGGGATTGGGCAGTTTTCTGACAGATGCTGCAACACACAGATGATTGAAGATCTGAAACCTCAGGAGAGCACATCTAATAGACCATCAGATGCTGATAATTTTACAGTATCTGCAACACAAACCCCCTTTCGTTGCATCAGTCAGTATGCTTACTTTTAAGTGATCTCCAGTATTTTTCTAAAATGTGAAAATCCAATTTAAAAATCATTTTGCCATTTGTTTAGTGGGCCTTAACTTTAGCTTGGATATTTATTTTTTCTGATAAACTGCTGCTTTTTAACTAATCCTGTAACTTTCAGTTCTTAAGTTAACTTGCTTTTACTGGCATTAAAGTCTGAACTTGTTTTGGCTTTAAGAACCATTAAACGATATGTGGTAAAAGCCTGGATGTATTTCTCCAAGGTAAAGCCAGCAGTTGCATCATTCTCAGTGAACTGGCACAAAGCTAGATGTATTTTTTACTGTATGTGGTGGAGGTTTTTTAAACCTGGTATAATGCACACATTTGGTCAGTTAGTGTTTCCATGCTCTCTACTGGACTCTGGACACTATTGCACATCTAAGAAGCATGCAGATAATAAGGAATTAGAAATAATCTTGCACTAGTCTGCTTTAATAATAGGCATGCATTTTGCACAGCTCTATTGAAGCACCATGACATACCAATAAAAATGTGCTGCAGTGCTTAATTAAAGGCGCATCTGCACTTTTTCATAGTCCCACAAATTCCTGTTTATCTTGCCAATGAAGTCTACCTAATGCAGCTTCCTGTGATAGGGTGGTAACAATGCTTCACTGCACCTTAATTCAGGCAGACTTGCCACTGTCATGTAGGCTGTCCCTGCTTGTAGTAAAGTGGGAGAAGATGTTGCAGTGTCGGCATTGTCAGTGCTGATTCACAAGTTACCAGACCACACAATGTCCTGCCCCCTGCTTTCTAGGTTGACAGCACTGCCTCCGATGCTGAACCCCCTCCCCCCCACTTTGAGCTGCAGTGTCTGGGAGGGAGGGGGCATGTGAGGCACAAATTGATTTTGCTCTAATAGGGAAGGTAATGGAAGTTGTTTGCTTTCAGGCTTGTGCTTCACATAGTCACTGGATTTGGGACTTGTTTAAACTGTCAGAGTAGACTGTAAGCCAAGTTCTCTGTGGCCAAGTACAATTTTTTTGTTTAGACATAATTTCAATTAAAAGAACACATGTATGTATTTTCCTGTTCATACAACTTATTTGAGTTTGTGTTAAGAGTGCACTTTTAGTGTTGCCCTTAGTGTATCCCTGTGTTAGTCCAAGCACTTCACTGTGTGAACAAGTAGACTAGTGGTTTGTGATAATGTATCACTTGTTTCCCACAAAATAAATGTATTTTAATCCTTTTACTGCCACACAGTACTACTATGTAGGTGAAAGTAACAGCCTGTAAACAAACTCCGTCACAGTAGCAGCTGTGAGTTTGTTTACGGTTTAGAACAGGCTATATTGTAGAAGCGATCTGGCAATCATACGGCTGCCTAATCGCTTCTATGGTGCTTTTTTCTTTGGCCTCCCATCTAGGTACCCAAGCTCACTTGCTTCTCCTGGTTATTGTACAGTACAGATACTTTTCCAGCTCCAAAGCTAGACTAGAGAAAAGTTCAAAAGTAAGGAGGCAGCTGTCATTTTAAGGAGCTCTTGGGATTTGTGTGTATGTAATGTGTGTGTGTGTGTGTGTGTGTGTGTGTGCGTATATATTGTTATTAAAATAGAGATATAGATATATTATATAATATTTATTGCACCTATACCATTTTTTTTCTTCAAGTACTGATACTTGTCCAAGTACTGATTATATTTTTGTTTAGTGTCGTGACCGTTTAAAAACAATACAGACTAATGATTTCAGGACAGTGGTGGCGCACCAGAGCCCGGCCCCAGCTGCAACCTCTGTAACCCTGGAAGGTCTCGTGGAAATGCCAAGTATCAGCACTGGTGTCTGAACATCCCTACTCAGAACTATAAAATCCCAACTGGTGATCGAGGATGCTGTTCCCTTGATCAAAGTTGAGTACAGGAGGTGCATCAAGAGTCTATAAGACCCTTGATGTCTCCATAAAAAGAATCTCTCACTCAAATGTGCTTTTCTCATCAGCCTCCCTGTGATAGCAATAACATTAAGGGGGGGCGGTATTGTAGGTTGTTGCTGTGTTAAGGGCACATGCAGTTTTGTGCCTTGACAGTTGGTATCTATTTATTTGACACTGTCTTTATCTTATACATTTTACAGAAAATGTGGAGTTTGTATTGTTTGTGTGCACTAAAAGTGCATTTTTACTGAGAAATTTTGTTCAAAACTGAGGAAATATTGTGTGACACAATTGCAACTGCCACTATTTCTTTCTACAGAGTCTCGGATTTCAGAAAATAAATATTTTGGATGTTTTAAGTAATCTTCAAGCATAAAATGTGTATCATGTATGCAATCAATGAAAATAAATGTCCAGCAAGGAAAATGTTGAAATCCTGATTACTGCAGGCAACAGTTTTTTTTTTTTTTTTTTTTCTTCCATTGTTTTTTTAACCCCTTAGTGGCGGGAGGTGTACACTGTGTGTCCCCCTCACGAAGTGCCCTAATGATGAAATTTCATTAATGAAATAAGCAGTTTCAGACACCCGATCGCTTTCAGTGATCAGGTGTCTGACAGTGATAGGAGTGCAGTGTGTACACTTCCTACCACTATTAGGCAGCCATGCACATCGGGATTAGCAAATCCGATGTGTACTGGCATTTTGCTGAATTCGTCAGCATAGAGGCATTCAGCAAAAGCCGACAGATGCCTTTTTTAGGCTTCCGATCATTGTGGCAACCAGCCACAATGACATCTGATCCTGCCATGCTGCAGTGCATATCAGGGTCACTAAGATTAATGTTGGCTTTCCCTCAGTTTGGGGCAGCTTAATCATAACCAAAAGTTAATTGAAATGATCAAGCAGTCACATCCATTCAGAATTAATTATTATTGTATTTTATATAGTCATCTGGTCAGGAGTCAAACCAGGGACCCCCAGTGCTACAAAGCGGAAGTGCTAACCACTACGCCACAGTGCTGCCCAATGACTGCTTGATATAATTGACAAGCCGATGTTTGCAAACACGGGCTTGTCATGTCCCCCCTTCTCTCCCTGTCAGGTAATGTGTGGAAAAAAATTAAAATTAATAAACATGGTGTGTGTGTATCATTATAAAAATGACCCCCACAATGCAATAAATCTGTTTTTCACCCTAAGGTTTTGTTGTTGTTAATTTAACCCCTCATGACGGTGATGTTCAAAGTATGTCCCTGTCACGAACTGTGACGTTTAGTAACACTTCCTGACAGTGACATTGTATGCCACCTGGTGACCACTATTGTCTTTTTTGAGAAAAAAAATAAATTACATTTATTTTTCAGTTTTAATTTCTGAAATCCTAGGCATGTGAGGTGTTTCTAAATAAAGGACATATATTTAAATGTCTGTGAAAGAATCGCAAAAGT